TGTGTGGCTAGTTAGGAAATATGGGTGTAAGCGTGATGTGGCGCAAAGTGATATGAAGTGGCGTAGATGTTTGGTTTGACATTGAATTGCATGACATGATGTGGCACGGTATCACACGGTGCGGTATGGTGTGGTATGGAGGATGGGTGGATGATTGGATCAGCGAGTATGATTTGTCCTGTAGACTAATGCAAGGCCGGTCTTCCTGTATCACATGATTTCGTGCAGAGCCCTCGGATCCTGTTAGTTTGCGTCTTTTTGTGCAGGCAAAGTGAAGTGAGCAGTTTGAATGTTGGCTCGAGTGTCGTCATGTCGACAGCAGCGTTAGGACGACGTCCGTCTGTTCTGTTTTGCCTTCTCATTGGCCATCGCATTGGCAAGTATATCACATGAGGTTTGCGTAGGGTCGACTGATAGAACTGGGTCTTTGCATCGGATCAAACAGTGCTCGGAAGGTTGTAGTCGCGTGGATACCGCTTCACTCGCGCTTGGGCCAGAGGGAAAAAGGGGATAAGAGGGGGAGTGAACGAGGTCAGAGGTCGAGGCCTTGAGGAGGGGAAGACTTCAGCCTGAGCATGGTCGGGGCTCGGTGCGGGGCGGTGGTAGGAGTGGGAGAGAGGGAGCAAGCGGGAGCCAGCCAACGGCCCAGCCTCACGAGTGCATGGCCAACGCCGCCAGACAGGCCGACGGGGCCAGTTCGCTGGCGGCCACGGCCGGCGATGAGACGGTCGGGCAGACGGGCGCAGATGAGGCCGCGAGTCCGAGTCCCGCTTGGCCGGCATCGACGGTCGTCAGGCACGACGGCTCGGCTGGTGGCAGAAATCGCAGCAGCTCGCGACAACTTGCCACCTGCGGCCCGATCGGGACAACGGCGAGTCGGTCGAGTCGCGAGCCGACTCGTCTTGCGTCACTGCGGGCTCTCGAGCCCTCGGGCTCAGACTCGGTCTGCCCCCGTGGTCGTTTGTCCTCTCGGTCCGGACTCTTCTTCCCAATCTCCGCCTCCACTTCGCCCTCGACCCCCGCGGCCTGCCTCTTCTTTACTCGGCCACCGTCACTATCGTCTTCGCCGTCGCCGTCGCTGTCGCCATCGACGCTGACGTCGCCATCTCGGGACTCTGCGCCGTCGTCATCGGCTTCCGGCCAAGTGTTGCTCCTTTCTCTCCGTCTCTCTTCTCGAGCCTCCGGGCCGACCGGACTCGGTTCACCAAACACCCTCGAAGGCGTCGAGTCCCTTCCGCCGCCGCCGCCGCCGCTG